TAAGAGTGTAAAACACCACTGTATGACACCATGTTTTATGTGTGAGAGTGTAAAACACCACTGTGTATGACACCATGTTTTATGTGTGAGGAGTGTAAAACACCACTGTGTATGACACCATGTTTTTGTGTGAGGAGTGTAAAACACCACTGTGTATGACACCATGTCTTATGTGTGAGGAGTGTAAAACACCACTGTGTATGACACCATGTTTTATGTGTGAGGAGTGTAAAAACCATGTGTATGACACCATGTTTTATGTGTGGAGTGTAAAACACCACTGTGTATGACACCATGTTTTATGGTAAGAGTGTTAAAACACCACTGTGTATGACACCATGTTTTATGTGTAGAGTGTAAAACACCACTGTGTATGACACCATGTTTTATGTGTGAGAGTGTAAAACACCACTGTGTATGACACCATGTTTTATGTGTAGAGTGTAAACACCACTGTGTATGACACCATGTTTTATGTGTAAGAGTGTAAAACACCACTGTGTATGACACCATGTTTTATGTGTGAGAGTGTAAAACACCACTGTGTATGACACCATGTTTTATGTGTAAGAGTGTAAAACACCACTGTGTACGACACCATGTTTTATGTGTGAGAGTGTAAAACACCACTGTGTATGACACCATGTTTTATGTGTGAAGAGTGTAAAACACCACTGTGTATGACACCATGTTTTATGTGTAAGGTTGTAAAACACCACTGTGTATGACACCATGTTTTATGTGTGTGAGTGTAAAACACCCACTGTGTATGACACCATGTTTTATGTGTAAGAGTGTAAAACACCACTGTGTATGACACCATGTTTTATGTGAGAGTGTAAAACACCACTGTGTATGACACCATGTTTTTATGTGTAGGAGTGTAAAACACCACTGTGTATGACACCATGTTTATGTAGAGTTACACACGTGCAGAACTTCTTAGGAGATGTCAGTGACTGTTTATATGGTATATATATTATAGAACAATTGTATAAACAATTTGTGTATTGTTTGTTTTTGTAAACAGTTTTGTAAACATTTTTATGTGAATTAAATGTTATGAGACCATGTTATTGTGTTGTAAACACGAGTGTATATGTACACATGCCTTACTTTGGTATAACAGGCCACATAAGTTATGTGAAAAAATAAAATTGTGAATAAAAACACACAAACCTTTCATTAAAGTAAACACACTAAAATTTTACCGTGTAGGTGCAGTCCCGCTGTGTTGCCATTACGCGGCTCAATTTTGCAAACTTCATGCTTATATTGGGTAAGTAACGACTGTGGAACATTTTTTTGGAGGGACTAAAACATCAGAAAAATAATTATAACATTTTCATAGATTTATTTTTTTTTTCGAAGATTTTGCGAACACCAGGTAGACGCTTCAGATTGGGCTTTCGACAGTCAAAGGCTATGTTAGTATAGAGTGCAGGGTATGAACAGTTTCAAGAGTCCAGAAAGGGCTGTGAGGAGTGCTATGGCATTCATCAGAGTTTGTGCAGTAAATATATTTGCTGTCAAAAATCAACGAGAGTGTTGGATTTTAAAGGAGGGTTCTTGCAAGAAGGGAAGGTAATTATGGGCAGTAGAGACTGGTGTCAACGAAGGTAATATTCATGCATGTTCTTTGGTACAAGTGGGCAGTCCAACAGATATGGTAACAGAAATTGGAACACAACAATTCTTCAAAGTAAGTGGAACTAGGGACTTCTCCAGGTAAGTGAGTGTGGCCGATGCACGACGGGCAAAGAGAGTTCCCAATTTCTCAAACACTGATGACAAGAAGACGGTCAGAAACTATTGTTTGGTACTAGACTTACGAACATTAATTCGTTCAGAAGGCTGTTTCGAGTGCCAATTTATCCGACAATTTGTCCCATAAGAGATAATGCAATTAGATTGGCCTTTTCAGACCCAAAAACGCACGTCAAAAATACTTACAGTACTGATCGAGATGGGAGCTGTTCAAAATTGAGGTACATGTAACTTGGTTATAGAGATGAGCATCATGGCAGAAAATTTTGGGCAAGATGGAATTCACCTCTGCATTAGAGGCTCTCAACCAGTAAAGGAGCGAAAAGCAACGAGGCATAAACGTAATTCCTGGTTGTGGATGGGATTAAGCTAGAAAGTTGCAGAAGAGGACCACTAATATCTGGTTACATAATTGACTTCATGAAAATGAGGGTTGATGTAGACAAAGTAGAGTTTACAATCAAGCCCCCAGAAAGATGAGTGAGGGTTTTAAGGAGGTTCAGCTAGCTATGTACAAGTTTCCATTCACCGAAGGTAATTTAGGTTCCCAGGATAACATGATAGTCGTCAAAAAGGCACAAAAAAACCTGATTACTACTGTCTGGTATGGCGAGCCAAATATGCAGGTACATGGATGATCAGTTAACGATCAGAATGTCAGTGAAATTTGGTAAATTTTGTACTGGAAATTTAAACCCCAAGTAGTGGCCCATGAAGAACATGGTTGACAGCATGCTGGAGAGAAACTGCAATGAGGTGACAGTCAGTGCCTTAAAGCTATAGCATATCAAAACATGAATAATGACCAATATTTGATGGTAAAAACAGATGCCAGATCATTTATGCAAGGTATAAATAGTGTTTGTAATTAGAAAACATCCGTGGGGGACACCTTCAGCTTGGCAAAGAGAGGGTAAAGCATTATTAACTAACAGGAAATGTCTGCTCAGTTAAAAGTTCCTGAGGAAAAATGGTAGATTGCCCTCGGCAGGCCATAAGGATGGTGCCGGTCAAGATGTCTATAACCTCAAGTTGTGTAAATGCTTTTAGTGCAAAAAGATGTGATAACCAAGTGGTTATTGGAAACAGGGACATTACAAACATACGTACAAGTGTAGGTAAGTGGTCATTGTAGAACGGCACTTACGAAAAGCCATACTGATAGTGGAGAGACTATTGTCCTCTCTAAATACCACATCAAATTTTATATTACACACCGTGGACCCTTCACCTTGCAAACTGCGGGTAAGGACAATGGATAGACTAGTGGGAGCATCATGCCCCATAGTAACCTATGGTATTGCAGGAAAGGGGAGCAATGGCAGATTTCACACCTGGGAAGGAACTCCTTGCGACCAAATAAGATTAACCTGTAAAAGGCAGAAGGGCATGACGATGTGATGCTGTAGATGTGAATATGAACTGCCTATCAATCCCAGCTCCGGTGATCAGTGAGCAGTGTGTGTTGCTCCAGTTCGCGAAGTGTAAAAGCGTACATTTAAGATTCTTCACTGCAGAAGAAAAGTTTAAGGGCTCTAACTCTGGCAGACTTGGAGGAATATGAATACAAGGGGCACGGATGGAGCCCCCGAGATGGTACGGAAAAATGATTACCAATTCGGTGGCAATGTCAAGAGGATTGCCTATGCGACCAAGATAACCGTAAGAACGGGACAGCAAGGGTCGGATGATGTACATCTACCACCGACTTACGACCTGCTCGTCATACCACAGACTGATGACTTACAACCAGTGTTTTTTATGCAAATGTAAAGGAATTATAACAAGTGTTTGTGTTGTACACAGTGTTTATCCTAACCTTACAGTTGAAAATAGTATAACAGCAGAAGAGTCAAAGTAAAAACATGAAATTACCATTAATGACAATTAAAATAAAGTTCATTACAAAAATGTAAGATGAATCAGTAGTAAAGTTCGACTTACGTCCATTTCGATTTTACGACCGTTTTTGGAACCGAACTGCGGTCGTAAGTCGGATGGTAGTGTTATCTAACCATTCAGTTCTGTATTATTTTCCAGACTAACACTAGAAGTAAGCCTGTGGCAAGTGAGGGCATAAAGTGTCTACTTTGGGTTGGGAGGTCTTGGAGCTCGAGCTGTTCCAGATGTCAACCTTTCTGGAATTCCGTTGGTCAATGGTATGAGGTAGAATGACAGTACCACTACAAGATTGGTGAATGATGTTTTTTCAATGATACAGGAACAGCATCTATGGTTGTAAGGAGAAAATAGATCGTGGGTTTGGCTGGCATTCTGTCCGTAGACGATGTGCACCACTCTTGAGAGCTTGAAAGGTATAGTAATTGACCAACACTAAAGTGAGAGAGTCCTTGCTATGACTATGATTGGAAAGATAAGATGTTTTGGGCTGAGCACTGACTGACATGTTGCATTTTCCGTGACTGAATAATTGACCAACATTTGGCAGTGTGGCATGCTAAACAGTAGCCAATGCAGCCAAAAGGCATCAGATTTAAGTGAGAGTTGTTTGGAAGTTGTTTTTATGGCAACTTCATCTACCAAAACTGTCTCGTATCATTTGGCTCTTCACGTGTAGCCCACATGAGCTTCCACTGTGGATCAAGAAACACTAACAGTGAAGAGTTTCTTCGTTTGACACTCATAGATATTTCTCCACCGAAGCTGCTACAGTTTTTACCAATACAAAAGTGAATTTCTCTTGAAGTTCAGACAGTTCCGCATAGTCCCCTAATTCATGGTAAAACAATGCTTGAGTGACCTGATTCTGGGCCTCAGCAAAATTAGTGGCAATCTCTCAGTGTGAGAACCTCAATTAGCTCAATGATAGTGTTCTCATTGTGAGAGCAACAGTGACTGTGATATTTACAAAGCATCTGTGTAGGTTACTCATTGCTCTTAGTAGCGCAAAAAAAAAAAAAAAAAAAAAAAAAAAAATTATTAAATATACAAACACAAAAAAAACACAAAAAATTAACAATGAAAAGCCTCAAGCAGGCAAAGTGTGATAAAAAATCTTCTAAGTGTTGCATATTGTATGTTTTCACGCCAAGACTGGAAATTAAAACTGGATGGCATTTTGGTTCATCATGGACCTTTATCAGTGTTATTTATTAAACTTACCAATGCAGCTGTAGTACAGTAGAAATATTTCCCTTCTGGACATTGATTACACTTCACAAATAATTGATGTCCTTGTACACTACTGTATAAATTAAAATCTTATTTATTAATTTGTTTAATTTAAATCTTTATTGCTTTTATAAGTCACAACAGGAAATTGTTACATTTCTTAAAATTGTACTTGATGCCATAAAAGCCTTTTAAATATTAAATGCCAATGTAATTTTCTTTAATGTAAAATTAAATTTAGCCACACTCACATTATGTGTATAGGTCAAAATCAATACGTCTTGTCGAGTACCAAGATTGACCCTGCTCGCAGGTCTTTCGTACGTAAGCTCCTTTCTTGAAATAACCAGACTCTTGCCATTTCAACATCTTCTCATTACTAAAAGGCCCATGGATCTGTGCATCTTCTTTGTCTTCCCAGCGAAGCTCCCAACTGATTTTTGCTGGGAAAAAAAAAAAAAAAAAAAAAAAAACTGAATACACAAGGTGGTAAAATACATTGCACTATTACAATTTATCCATAGTATATGGATAGTACTATATACAGTATAGCTTCACAACCCACTCCTCTCATGGGGTGTACCTGGATGCTAGTAAAGCACTAGTGGTTCAAGGAATTAGCACTATCCTCCCCTTCCCTGGATCAAACCTAAATACAGCCTCTCCTCACTTAACGATGGAGTTCCGTTCCTAAGACTACGTCGGAAGATGAATTTGTCGCTAAGCGAGGAGCATATTATAATGGTAGTGGGTTTGTGTCAATCACCTTTGATATTGTTTTAATGTCACATTTGCACCATTTATAACATTTCTGGTATATTTTTAAATGTTTATATGGTAGTGTACTGTATATTGTAATAGAATAGAGGAAATCAGCTCTAATATGCATTATTTAGGTATGCATACTGGTCAGAGAACCCGTCGTTAGTCCGAATCATCTGTAAATGAGTACGTCGCTAAGTGAGGAGAGGCTGTACCTTATTCCCCAGGTGCTGTATGACCCCATCTTAAAGAAGTTTCCTTGAGACTGGTGGAGGCTCTTGATACAAGGAACTGAACTTGACCTCCCTTTCCTAGGGTTAAACCTGATTGCATCTAGTATAACCAGGTACTATATGACCCCCTTTGGTTTAGTGCTATCCCCATGAATGTAATAAAACTATGGCCCCTACAGGTTTAGCACTTTCCCATGAATACAATAATTTGCTACCCACTCAAATAAATTTTTAATGACATGTAACTTAAAACGTACCAACTGAATCGTGTACATGCTGCCCTTGAATTGATCCTTCAAGTTTATCTTCACATTTCGTCTCCTTGGTCGAGTGCTCGTCTTCATCAGCAAAAATGTCCATTGAAGGCTTAGGAGCAGGAGCTTTGGATCTCTCCACCTACATAAATGCAATGTCACCAAGTCATTTCATCCAAGAAAGCACCAGCAATATGCGTACTCCTATGTGTCTACTCTGAACATGGCAGGTTTTCTGAAGGTAAAGAGGGTGGGATAGATATACTGAACAAGGAAGCTACTGTACAAGAATTAAAACTGAGTAATAAAAAAAATGCATGAATAAAGAGAATAAATGAAAACAGAAAATTTCTCCAAAACATATTTTGCATTTTTTGTGATATGCATAATTTCAGAATCCAGTTAACTCAAATACCAGGATAGATTATGGCTTCAGGATGAAGATCTTTGCAATGAGGCACTAAATGGTAAATCTTAAGATACATTCAAGATACTGAGTTTCAGTAAGTGATTAAATGCTAGGCAAAATGTACTGTACATGTAACAACATTAAAGACAAAATTGGGGGTACCATTTACACTCAACAGACTTCCTGTCACTTACAAACCCACTCAAGGCAGTGGCTACCAGGTAATTTGGGGTGTAATTGCAAACTGTTTGATCTTGCAGGGAATAAACGGAGGATTCCAATTCTTAGTCATACGTGATTAAGAACTGTTCTTTGTATTGATGATCCCTGTATGGAGTTGGATTCCACTATGTCATTGCTCAACTCACATGTCACCGCTTTGCCACTCCTATGTTGAGGAAATTCGTCCTGATATATTTGTGGATTATTGGATATGTCAATGTGCAGACCAAGGGTTTACAGTGAATCATACGAGTAGTAATTGGGTAAGGGTAAAGAGCTATTTGTGGACAGGGAAGCCATATGGCAGATATTGCAAATGCATGGAATAGAGTAAATTGCTAAAAGAAATTAAAAGTCTTTATGCAAAGTGAGACTCAGGTTAGGGTATGAAGGAAGAAAGGGGAATTATTTCCCCGTGAAAATAGGGCTTTAGACAGTTTTGCGTGATGTCACCACAGTTAACATATAAACGAGGTTGTAAGATAAGTGAATATTAGAGTGTTGGGAAAAGGTGGCGAATTAAAAATGTTGGACTTGATACAAAGTGGGAATTATCCCAGTTGCTCTTTGCGGATGACAGTTCTTTGAGGAGGGAAAGGAGTTCTGAAGACAAAGTTGCAAAGGTTGGTGAATGAATATGTCATGATAGACCGAATATCAGACTGGAGGGAGTATGGATGAGGTTGATATATTTAAATATTTGGGAGTGGACATGTCATCAGATGGGTCTATGAAAGATGAAGTGAACCATACAAAAGATGAAAGTAAAAAAAAAAAAAATATCCAAGGGTGGTGTAGTAAGGCATCTGTGGAAAAGTTATTCTATGGAGGCAAAATATTGGGATGTACACAAGTACAGTGGTACTATTACTAACATTTGTTTAAGGGTGTAAGGCATGTGTTTTGAGATATCACGTTTGAGATTGGTGTGTGGTGTGAATATCAAAGAGAGAAATCAGTGTGTAGAAATTCAAGGTGTTATGGAGTCACAAAAGGTAGAATTCAAAGGGTTGAGGTGGTTTAGACATTTAGAGGGGCTAGAGAGGAATAGGATGATCAGGGTGTATAAATCTGGGGTGGAAGGTAGGATGGGTAGTGGCAATCCTAATAATGCTCAAGAGGGGTAAAAATTTTTTGGACACAATCTCCTGTGAATACAGTTACAGTAATACAGTGGACCCTTGTTTTTCGTAATTAATCTCTTCCAGAGTGTGATTAATGGGGAAATTGAAGATTTGTGAAACCATTTTCCCCCATAAGAAATAACGTAAATCCAATTAATCCATTCCAGACACCCAAAAGTATTAAAACAAAATAATGTTTTTACATCCTAGGTAGTAGGTCTGTAGACAGCAACCGCCCAGGGAGGTACTACCGTCCTGCCAAGTGAGTGTAAAATAGAAGCCTGCAATTGTTTTACATGATGGTAGGATTGCTGGTGTCTTTTTTTTTTCTGTCTCATACACATGCAAGATTTCAGGTACGTCTTGCTACTTCTACTTGCACTTAGGTCACAATACACATACATGTACAAGCATATATATACACACCTCTCTGGGTTTTCTTCTATTTTTCTTTCTAGTTCTTGTTTATTTCCTCTTACCTCCATGGGGAAGTGGAACAGAATTCTTCCTCTGTAAGCCATGCATGTTGTGAGAGGTGACTAAAATGCCAGGAGCAAGGGGCTAGTAACCCCTTCTCCTGTATATATTACTAAATGTAAAAGGAGAAACTTTTGTTTTTCCTTTTGGGCCACCCCGCCTCGGTGGGATACAGCCGGTGTGTTGAAAGAAGAAGAAAGAATGTTTTTATATGAAATATAGATGTACATACACAGAAAACAATGAGACATGAAGAATAAAACAATAACAACATGACACGTACCTTCATTGAAGATTCTTCTTAGTGTATGGAAGATGGGAGGAGGGAAGAGGATGGAGAAATTACTGTTTGGAAGGGGAATCCCCTTCCATAAAGACTTCAGGTACCAAGTCCTTTTCTGGGGTTACTTCCCTTCTTAGTTTTTTAATGCCACTAGGACCAGCTTGAGTCACTACACACCTGTGGCACTAAATATCTGTCCAAAGAGCTCTGTTTCTGGCATCTCTTTAAAATTTCCCTAAAATGGGACAAGATATTGTCATTGTACATGTTGCTGACACAGTTTGCAACAGCTTTGTTAGGGTGATGTCCCTCAGCAAATCTTTCCATTCTACTCCACACTGCACAAATTCCATTACTATCACCCTCTACCACAATCGTAACCAATACTACCCTCTACCACCATCACAACCACTACCACCATCACAACTGCTACCATCCTCTACCACCATCACAACCATTACCACCCTCTACCACCATCACTACCACCCTCTACCACCATCACAAATGCTACCACCTTCTACCACCATCACAACTGCTACCATCCTCTACCATCAAAACCACTACCACCCTCTACCACCATCACAACCACTACCACCCTCTACCACCATCACAACCATTACCACCCTCTACCACCATCACAACCATTACCACCCTCTACCACCATCATAACCACTACCACCCTCTACCATCATCACAACCACTACCCCCATCATAACCACTACCACCCTCTACCATCATCACAACCATTACCACCCTCTACCACCATCACAACCATTACCACTCTCTACCACCATCACAACCACTACCACCCTCTACCACCATCACAACCACTACCACCCTCTACCACCATCACAACCACTACCACCCTCTACCACCATCACAACCACTACCACCCTCTACCACCATCACAACCACTACCACCCTCTACCACCATCACAACCACTACCACCCTCTACCACCATCAAAACCACTACCACCATCACAACCACCCTCTACCACCATCACAACCATTACCACCCTCTACCACCATCACAACCACTACCACCCTCTACCACCATCACAACCACTACCACCCTCTACCACCATCACAACCATTACCACCCTCTACCACCATCACAACCACTACCACCCTCTACCACCATCACAACCATTACCACCCTCTACCACCATCACAACCATTACCACCCTCTACCACCATCACAACCACTACCACCCTCTACCACTATGACTACCACCACCACTTTCGTATTTTTCTACAATCTTTTTCTTTAATTCTATCGTGTTTGTCACCTTTACCAAAGGGCTGGCACTAGCTTTTTGGGCTCATGGTGGCTTATTTAGCAGTTGCAAGCACTAAAACGAATGGAATATTACGAAATATATCATATGAATGCGTGGGATCATGCCCACTCACTGATAAACAATGGGACACTGACTGTGGCCGCGTCGGGGCCACTCGTACATGCCTGGGACGAACAACTATTTGCGAGTCAATATTTTGATGAAAAAATGCTACGATTTGCGAAAGTTACGGCTTCCGATGCTTACGAAAAACGAGGGTTCACTGTACTGCACATCGAGAGTGCATCAACTAAAAACTCTAGATTGAGGGACTCACCACATCCTAATTATGTCCTCCAGGGTGATGTACTGATTACAACGTCTTTTCATCTCTACTGTCTCTGTATTCGACTGAAGAAGTCTACTGTGTAAGCGAAACATTTTGGAATAAAGATACCTAACTGTTGCATGTGTCTTTGTTTATCACAACTAAAAACTAATGCAAAAATGCAGGATTTACAATGGCAGTATCTCTCTCCATCTGTAACTGACAGTCTTTTCTACACCTACCTTAAGATTTATCATCTCAAAAGTTTCTTGATAGACATCCATATTACCAGTCTCAATAATTTTATTAGACAACTCTGTAAGTTTGAGGAAATCTGACATATTGTTGTCTCCATTCTCATTACCCAAATTGCCAGTTTTTTTCAACTTCCATCTTTGGGCTGATGACATTTTCTTGTTTCCACCAAGTCTCTGTAAACAATGGAAGCTGAGCTTTATTTAAAATTATAAACATTAACTTTTTAACTTTATTACACAATATAGTATACAATTCAATGTAAATATTTTTATCCTAAACATACACAATTAATACTCTTATCTCTTCAACAAGAAGAAAGACTGAGATCCCACTGAGGGCAGAGACAGTTAAGCTGCTCAACTTAGCAATGAAGAATTACTTATGGAAGCATGTCAAGAAAACCAATAGGATGGAAGAAGTTGACAAATCAACAAAGATGGAATTAGAATTCCTTTATAAAGACTAGGAAAACACACACAAACCAAGAATTCCAAATAAGTGTTAGCAATCACTGTACCCAGTCTGCTACCTAGTGGAATTCAAACAGAGCTGAAACTGGAATGAATTCCAAACATGGGATATTCATCCAATGCCATAATTCCACCTACATATCCAATGGATAGGACTGTCACTATTGTATTAACAATCATAAAAAGACTAACCTACTTGCAAAAAATTTCACTGTGAAGATGCAGCTCTGATACAGAGATTCAATCTCCATGGTTAGCTTAACCCTTAAACTGTCCAAACGTAGATCTACTTTTCGCGCGTAGCACTCCGACCTTGATTTTCTCCATAAGAAAGCGTGTAAAAAAAAATGTAGCTCTACGTTCGGAGCACTACACGAGCGAATGTAGATCTACGTTTGGGCAGTTTAAGGGTTAAAGAAATATTTCAAAGTTTTCCACAATGACAATAGAACAAAAAGGTGCATCTCTCCTTAAATTCTAGCATAGAATAGGCTGTGGGGTACCAGGTAAGATCAAGATTGCTGAACGATGTGCCATCACTACCTCTTAATTCCTATATAGTATGGTCCTGAATTATGATTCACAAGTATCAGACTGGACCTTTGGAGCCAATTAATTACTTACGAACAAAGATTCATCCTTCTGAATAACGAGATTACTTACAACTGTGGAAATATCACTACCAGACAGTATCAGCATTCAACAAGGCTGGAATTATATTTTTTCTCAGTTACTTTTTTTATCAAATACACTAACAGTTTGTATATGTTCATTTTATACCTGCACAGAGTTCGTGTTTATTTGGTAGAGATTGGTCAAGAACTGCTGATTTAAAATTACTATTTATTGGGGTAGAAAGTGGATGTGTCTAACTAGTAGTCAGTGACCGAGGTTCAGATCACATGACACCATCCTATCTCGCTACACAACCTGAGCATGCACACTCTCTCACTAATACCCTCTCTCAGACACCTGATGCTCTTAATGTAACAGTGAGCTACATCTACCCCTCTCACAGTCACCTGATACCCTCTTGAACAGTGAACATATATAAGAAAGCATAATTAAAATTGTCAGATACAATTTCAGTCATAGCTGCTGTTGCTCTACTCTTTCACCCTTTCCCTCAACTGCAGGAGGAATGAAATGCAAGAGAGGAAGAAAGGTAAGGAAGTAGGAGAGAAGGGGAATAGAAAGTAATATATAGTTCTTAAGAACTATATATTACTTTTAATTTTACTGGAAAAAGTGAAATTAGATAGAGAATATTATGGCTGGGAAAAGCATATCTGATTATAACAAGGGTATCTTTGGGAAAATAGGTTTGAAGTTCCAAAAACCTGAGTAATGAACAATTTTCAGATATGTATTACTACTGTCAAATAGGAGCCACAATGTATACCAACACTGCCTAGAACAGAATGGCCAACTTTGTCAAAGAAAGCCAATGTAACCCCAATTCACAAAAGGAGAGGAATGGGCACCTACACTGTTTCCAAAATATCTAACAAAGGAGTGACTCCCAATATGGTTTCAGAAAAGTCCCTCTGAAGCAAAGTACCTGTTAAAGCTCTCCATTATGGGACAACAGCCAATGGATAATCTAAGCTCATTTAAGCTATACAGGGTCTTGCAGGTGCATGGCCAGATACTGCCCAGTGGCTTGGCAAAATTACAGAAACTAAGAATCTGCTGAGAGAAAAGAACCAGAAGTTATTAGCCTGTATCCTGTAAAAACTCCTGGTGAATGCTTAGGCAGATTCACCCTAAGCACCCGCCATTTTGTTCCCTAAAATAGTAGCATGTTCATAGCACCAGCAAAATTCCACATCCTTTCCTTTACAATGGATGCAGGCAAACACATTCAGCTGCAATAGGAAGAACTGAGGCATGCTCTGCCAACAGCTTAGAGAATTTTTATAGAGATAATATACTGTAAAGGATTTCCCCCAAAATTTGTCACTATAATTGCCTTAAGGATGACATGCAGTTCAACAGTAAAAATCTGAAGATTCTACTGGTAACTATATACAATAACAGGGAATAACTGCTCTAAAACCCATGCCTCCATCACATTTCGAACCATTTGCAAAGGCCTTGACCTCTCCTGTATGAACATAATTACACTCGAGGAAGTTAATCAATTTAGGCCACTTGAATTTAGTGTTTTTTCACCCACTGCCTCAAATACTTCTGTAAGCTTTTATTTCCTTGGAACTGATAGTCGAGACTATGCCCCGTCTAATCAGAATCCCTACAAAGCAGTCATGTGCAATGCACATTTAGTGAATGACATTGATGTTCTCCCTAAGGAGAAGAAACACATAGTAGAATTAATAACTTTGTCAACCTCTGATACCTTGGTCTCTTCAGGAATTCTCCCAACTTAAAGGGACAAGAATACATAAAAACCTCCCCGGGAACTTGCATAATTTATATACCTTAAGGTTCCCGTATCAAAGCACAGAAACATTTATCAAAGTATTTACTATTTGATTACTAGGAAAAGACAATCTAGTGTGTGAGAAAATAATGACTCCTCAGTAAGCACGTACAAATAAGAACGGACACCATATAAAAATAGAATGACACTGAAACAATATTTACTATCGGAAGAACTGGAGATCAAGTTGTGCTAGAAAGTATAGTCGACAGAAAAAAAACCTCAATGGGGAAAAAATAATCAGCTGTACTGTACTTCAGTGAAAGCAGAATTTCCATGAATGATCAGTCTTACACCACCTACATTTACCACAACACATTAACAAACCTTCAAAGCTTTGGCTACTGTCTCTCCTTGTTTTAAAAATTCAAGAATCTCTGTGTAGACTGAGATAATTCCACTAGCTGGTGTTCCACCAGGGTTATCATCACTGTCCGCATTACTCTCTGTATCAGATCCGTACTTCTTTTCGTCCCCTTCTCGGTGCTTAACCTGAAATGAAAAGGCTCAGTGATATACTGGTACAGACATTTCTTGGTTTTGAAAATTTCAGTATTTTACCTTTGCTATACTATACGTACTACATGACAAAAATGTAGGTAGTAGTTAAAATATCTTTATTAAGCAATCCACAAAGAAACCTTACCAAAGGCCAGGTTGTGAGAGCAGGAAAGTCCTTGACACTCTTCACAAGTATACATCAATCTTGAATTTAGAACTTCATTTCTCTTATATTTCTTTTATTTTTCCAAGTTCATCACACCTGATACAGTACACTTTTAGTTACAGGGAATATAATAATGTAAACAAAGAAGGACTATTACATACCTTAACCCAATCAATGTCATCAAGCCAAGCATCCTTGATTGTTTCACTTTCCTTTTTAAAATGATAAAAGCCATCCCCATCAAAGTGGCCATCTTCCAGTTCCTCTTTCATGTTAAATGGCGTTATTTGAGTCTCTCCCTCAAAATCCACAGTGCCTTCTTCCTGACCTGTGTTTGATATAAATGCAATGCTGTGTTATACATAAGGCATAATATCTATACACATTAAGGATTCATTTTACAGCCTCCCCTCACTTAACAAGTGAGCTCTGTTCCTAAGACCACATCGATAAACGAATTCATCTCTAAGCAAGGAGCATACTATATAATGGCAAAAGGATTGTGGCAACCATCTTTGATATTGTTTTAATGTCACTTCTGCACCATTTATACTATTTTTAGTATATTGTTAAATGTTTATACAGTAGTGTACTGTACAGCCTCTCCTCACTTAGTGACGTACTCATTTACCGACCACTTGGACTTACGACCAGCTCTCCAACCAGTATGCAAATCTAAATAATGTATATTAGAGCTGATTTCCTCTATTCTGTCTATTACAGTATACAGTAAACTACTGTATAAACATTTAAAAATATTTTTTATTATTATTATTATCACACTGGCCAATTCCCACCAAGGCAGGGTGGCCCGAAAAAGAAAAACTTTCACCATCATTCACTCCATCACTGTCTTGCCAGAAGGGTGCTTTACACTACAGTTTTTAAACTGCAACATTAACACCCCTCCTTCAGAGTGCAGGCACTGTACTTCCCATCTCCAGGACTCAAGTCCAGCCTGCCGGTTTCCCTGAACCCCTTCATAAATGTTACTTTGCTCACACTCCAACAGCACGTCAAGTATTAAAAACCATTTCTCCATTCACTCCTATCAAACACGCTCACGCATGCCTGCTGGAAGTCCAAGCCCCTCGCACGCAAAACCTCCTTTACCCCCTCCCTCCAACCTTTCCTAGGCCGACCCCTACCCCGCCTTCCTTCCACTACAACTGATACACTCTTGAAGTCACTCTGTTTCGCTCCATTCTCTCTACATGTCCGAACCACCTCAACAACCCTTCCTCAGCCCTCTGGACAACAGTTTTGGTAATCCCGCACCTCCTCCTAACTTCCAAACTACGAATTCTCTGCATTATATTCACACCAAACATTGCCCTCAGACATAACATCTCCACTGCCTCCAGCCTTCTCCTCGCTGCAACATTCATCACCCATGCTTCACACCCATATAAGAGCGTTGGTAAAACTATACTCTAATACATTCCCCTCTTTGCCTCCAAGGACAAAGTTCTTTGTCTCCACAGACTCCTAAGTGCACCACTCACCCTTTTCCCCTCATCAATTCTATGATTCACCTCATCTTTCATAGACCCATCCGCTGACACGTCCACTCCCAAATATCTGAATATATTCACCTCCTCCATACTCTCTCCCTCCAATCTGATATCCAATCTTTCATCACCTAATCTTTTTGTTATCCTCATTACCTTACTCTTTCCTGTATTCACTTTTAATTTTCTTCTTTTGCACACCCTACCAAATTCATCCACCAATCTCTGCAGCTTCTCTTCAGAATCTCCCAAGAGCACAGTGTCATCAGCAAAGAGCAACTGTGACAACTCCCACTTTATGTGTGATTCTTTAACTTTTAACTCAACGCCTCTTGCCAAGACCCTCGCATTTACTTCTCTTACAACCCCATCTATAAATATATTAAACAACCACAGTGACATCACACATCCTTGTCTAAGGCCTACTTTTACTGGGAAATAATTTCCCTCTTTCCTACATACTCTAACTTGAGCCTCACTATCCTCGTAAAAACTCTTCACTGCTTTCAGTAACCTACCTCCCACACCATACACCTGCAACATCTGCCACATTGCCCCCCTATCCACCCTGTCATACGCCTTTTCCAAATCCATAAATGCCACAAAGACCTCTTTAGCCTTATCTAAATACTGTTCACTTATATGTTTCACTGTAAACACCTGGTCCACACACCCCCTACCTTTCCTAAAGCCTCCTTGTTCATCTGCTATCCTACTCTCCGTCTTACTCTTAATTCTTTCAATAATAAGTCTACCATACATTTTACTAGGTATACTCAACAGACTTATCCCCCTATAAATTTTGCACTCTCTTTTGTCCCCTTTGCCTTTATACAAAGGAACTATGCATGCTCTCTGCCAATCCCTAGGTACCTTACCCTCTTCCATACATTTATTAAATAATTGCACCAACCACTCCAAAACTATATCCCCACCTGCTTTTAACATTTCTATCTTTATCCCATCAATCCCGGCTGCCTTACCCCCTTTCATTTTACCTACTGCCTCACGAACTTCCCCCACACTCACAACTGACTCTTCCTCACTCCTACAAGATGTTATTCCTCCTTGCCCTATACACGAAATCACAGCTTCCCTATCTTCATCAACATTTAACAATTCCTCAAAATATTCCCTCCATCTTCCCAATACCTCTAACTCTCCATTTAGTAACTCTCCTCTCCCATTTTTAACTGACAAATCCATTCGTTCTCTAGGCTTCCTTAACTTGTTAATCGCACTCCAAAACTTTTTCTTATTTTCAACAAAATTTGTTGATAACATCTCACCCACTCTCTCATTTGCTCTCTTTTTACATTGCTTCACCACTCTCTTAACCTCTCTCTTTTTCTCCATATACTCTTCCCTCCTTGCATCACTTCTACTTTGTAAAAACTTCTCATATGCTAACTTTTTCTCCCTTACTACTCTCTTTACATCATCATTCCACCAATCGCTCCTCTTCCCTCCCACACCCACTTTCCTGTAACCACAAACTTCTGCTGAACACTCTAACACTACATTTTTAAACCTACCCATACCTCTTCGACCCCATTGCCTATGCTCTCATTAGCCCATCTATCCTCCAATAGCTGTTTATATCTTACCCTAACTGCCTCCTCTTTTAGTTTATAAACCTTCACCTCTCTCTTCCCTGATGCTTCTATTCTCCTTGTATCCCATCTACCTTTTACTCTCAGTGTAGCTACAACTAGAAAGTGATCTGATATATCTGTGGCCCCTCTATAAACATGTACATCCTGAAGTCTACTCAACAGTCTTTTATCTACCAATACATAATCCAACAAACTACTATCATTTTGCCCTACATCATATCTTGTATACTTATTTATCCTCTTTTTCTTAAAATATGTATTACCTATAACTAAACCCCTTTCTATACAAAGTTCAATCAAAGGGCTCCCATTATCATTTACACCTGGCACCCAAACTTACCTACCACACCCTCTCTAAAAGTTTCTCCTACTTTAGCATTCAGGTCCCCTACCACAATTACTCTCTCACTTGGTTCAAAGGCTCCTATACATTCACTTAACATCTCCCAAAATCTCTCTCTCTCCTCTACATTCCTCTCTTCTCCAGGTGCATACACGCTTATTATGACCCACTTTTCGCATCCAACCTTTACTTTAATCCACATAATTCTTGAATTTACACATTCATATTCTCTTTTCTCCTTCCATAACTGATTCTTCAATATTACTGCTACCCCTTCCTTTGCTCTAACTCTCTCAGATACTCCAGATTTAATCCCATTTATTTCCCCCCACCGAAACTCCCCAACCCCTTTCAGCTTTGTTTCGCTTAGGGCCAGGACATCCAACTTCTTTTCATTCATAACATCAGCAATCATCTGTTTCTTGTCATCCGCACTACATCCACGCACATTCAAGCATCCCAGTTTTATAAAGTTTTTCTTCTTCTCTTTTTTAGTAAATGTCTACAGGAGAAGGGGTTACTAGCCCATTGCTCCCGGCATTTTAGTCGCCTCATACGACACGCATGGCTTACGGAGGAAAGATTCTTTTCCACTTCCCCATGGACAATAGAAGAAATAAAGAAGAACAAGAGCTATTTAGAAAAAGGAGAAAAACCTAGATGTATGTATATATATATATGCAAGTGCGTGTCTGTGAAGTGTGACCAAAGTGTAAGTAGGAGTAGCAAGATATCCCTGTTATCCAGCGTGTTTATGAGACAGAAAAAGAAACCAGCAAAAATATACCAATGTTATAAATGGTGTAAAAGTGACATTAAAAATATATCTAAAGATGGTTGACACACCCACTACCAGCATAGTATGCTCCTCACTTAACTACCAATTCACTTACCGACCAACTCTTAGGAATGGAACCCCGTCGTTAAGTGAGGAGAGGCTGTATATTTTGTAATAACCAGAATACAGGAAATCAGCCCTAATATATATTATTTAGGCATGAATACTGGTCAGAGCTCATCGTAAGTCCAACATATTTGTTAAAAGAGTATGCCATTAAGTGAGGAAAGGCTGTAATTAATCATTTTAAATTAATTTATGTATTATTAATGAATTTAATTCCAATGAACCTTTAATGATTTTTTTAACAATTACTGTCTCCCACTGAGGTTGGGTGATATTCCCCCCCCCCCAAAAAAAAGGAAATGCATTTACCATCATTCATTCAACAGCTGTCTTGCCAGAAGTGTGCAGACATCACATTTCAAATGACCCTCAGAACTGCAACTTCCCTACCCCTCCCTCAGTGTAGGCCACTGTACTTTCTACCTCCAGGACCCAAGTCCAGTCAACTGGTTTCCCCTGGATTTTTTTGTTATTTTGCTCACACTTCACAAGCACATCCATTAACCTATCAACTGGAGCACACCCCAGAATTAAATTTCCTGTGTGCACACATGTGCACGAGTGCACAAGTGCATTCATGTGTGCATGCATTTGTGGCAAGATATTGAAAAAAAATAACGACTGAGTGAATGTATTTTTATGACTCTAATAAGAGTGGAATGTGATATAACTTGCAATTTTATGGCATTCTGAGGTTAGCAAAAACATGATCACTTACTAACAACAGCAGTGTAAATGCACCAGTCATATTTACATTTTACAATCTAATGAGGCCAAGTTATGACTGTTTTTCAGTTTTTTATATTTTTTATATTAGATGTGTTTCAGTACATCAAACATGGAGAAATGCACAACCCAACATTGCTCCACTTGGAATATACAGTATAAACTGGTGCAAATACAGTACAGTAATTGTTCTTTATTCTATTTTTACCTCTTTGATCTTTTAACACT